CTCCTCCAGTGTACATTTCCCAGCACCAGTGTCCCCAGGTTCCCACTCATCACCTTCCACCCCGTCTGCCTTTATGGCAGGCACCTTTCTTCTCTCTCTCCAGCCCCATACTCTTAATTTTAAAAATGTATACCTGTAGGGACTGGAGTGGTAGTACAGCGGATTGGGAGCTTGCCTTCATGGAGGACCTGATTCCACCCCCCAGAAGCTTATATGGCTCCTCCAGCCCAGCCAGGAGTGATTCCTGAGTACAAATTCAGTAGTAAACCCTTAGCAACTGCTGGGTACCCAAAATAAGCAAAAAGGAAAAATAAATATACATGTGTAAAAAGAGAAAGATATACAGTATCTGGGGAAAGATTTTTTCCCTCCAATTTACTGATTTACAATTTTGAGGGAATTTGACTTTATTACCATCTCCATGGTAAAATTTTTAAGTCCTTCTTATAATTAGCATATCGTGATCACGACCATCCTGTTGTTCGTTGATTGCCTCGAGCAGGCCCCTTCTTCCCAGCCCTGAGATTCTAAAAAGTGCCACATTCAAGGCTCTTTCAGGGTTAGGAGAATGAGACCCATCATTGTTACTGGTACTTGGCATATTGGGTACACCACAGGGAGTTTGCCAGACTCTGCTGTGTGGGCAGGTTACATTCAGTAGCCTGCCAGGTTGTCCAAAGTAAGAATTAGATAAACCACACACACCACACCAATGTCCCCAGTATTACCCCCATCCCAATCCTCCCCCTGCCTCCATGGCAGACAACTTCCCCCATACTCTCTAAAGAGGGCTTGCCATATAGCATATAATGAAATATAATAAAGTAACAACAAATGGTCAAGTCACCCAAACTGGCAAGCTGGATGTGAAGGGTGTATCCATGGGAAAGTTGTGGCAGGGAGGGCGCTGGGGACACTGGACTGAAAGCTTTCTCTGGGGGTGGGCGCCGGGCCGGGAAGATGCAAGAAAAGGACGATTACCAGTGTAGTAATGCAGGATACCACAGTAAAAATGGGAAAATAATGAAGTAATCACAGTCCACGGTCCTCCCGTTGTTCATTGACTTGCTTGAGCAGGCCCAGTAACGTCTCCATCATGAGACTTGTTGTTACTGTGTTTGGCATATCAAATACCTCACGGTAGCTTGCCAGGCTCTGCCGTGCAGGTGAAATGCTCTCGGTAGCTTGCTGGGCTCTCGAGGGGGGCAGAGGAATCAAACTCCGGTCGGCCATGTTGGCCGCTTGTAAGGCAAACGCCCTACCACTGTGCTATCGCTCCAGCCCAATGAAGTAATAACAATTAGAAAAAGAAGATAGTGATGATAGTGTCAGAGAGGAAACGTGGTAATGGAAAAGAACTGATATCAGAGAGGTACATGCCCCTGCAGTGGATTGACGCAGCCCCTTGTCCCAACCACTCCCCTCCCCCACCCCCGACCTAGAGCACTTGACTAAGGTGCACACCCAGTTGAGCAGCTCCTGGGTGTGCTCCTCCCCATCCTGACCTGGGTCCTGTTGGTCTGAGCCCCATGTTCCACTCTCTTCCAGTCAATGAGACGACCGAGATGGCCGAGATGGCAGTGTGGGCACCCACAGAGGTGCATGGCCGCTTGGGCGACATAGTGATGCTGCCCTGTGAGCTGCAATCTCCGGGGTCCAAAACCCTGGAAGTGACGCAGGTAACGTGGACACGGCAGGCATCGTCGGGGGAATCTAGCATCCTGGCGGTCTTCGACCGACTGTCCAGGCCCAGAATTTCGGAACCCAGCCACGTGGAGTTTGCGTCCGCCTGGCGGAACCCAAAGCTACGGGACGCTTCACTGCTGGTTCGTGGGCTGCGGCTGGAGGACGAGGCCAACTACACGTGCGAGGTGACTGTGGCTCAGGGCTGGAGCAGGAGCGTGGCCACCTGGCTCCGGGTGTTCTGTGAGTGCAGCCGGGCTGGGCGGGGAGGGAGGTTAGGGGGGGTCTGTTCCCCCAAGCTCGGATACTTTCTCAGGGTGGGGGATGTTGGGTCACACAGCAGGGCTGAGGGGTTAACCCTGGCTCTGCACTCTGAATCATTCCTGGCATAGCTTGGGGGACCTTGGGGGGCCCGGGTCTTCTGCGGGCAAGGGAAGAGCCTTATGCGTTGTCTGTCTCTGGCTCCCTCCACACCCAGGCTATCTGGGGGAAACAGCAGCACAGCAAAAAGGTGGGCAGGGGCTGTGCGGGGGGGGGGGGGGGGGGGGGGGGGTGTGGGAGGATCTGGGTGGGCAGTGAGAAGGGAGAGTTAGGGGCACTGAAGATCCTTAGAGGGTGGAGCCCTGGTCACTTGGGGGCAATCTTGGAGATTGAGGAAGGTGTGGACAGTGACAGGAAGCAGGATTGGGGGTCTGGGTCTGAGCCTGACCCCCTTGTGGGTCCCCAGAGTTTATGCAGACAAAGCAATTAGAGTTGAGCTATGCAGGCTCAGATCCTGTCCCCAACACCAGCACTCAGACCCTCCCTGTCTACACCCGGGCCACCAACCTCAGACCCTCCCTGTCTACACCCGGGCCATCAACACTCAGACTCTCACTATCTACACCCGGGTCACCAACACTCTGACCCTCACTGTCTACACACGGGCCGCCAACCACTGTTGCCTCCTCCTTCACTTGGACTCTGTCCATCCTCATTCCTTTGCTGTCTACAACTCCTTCAGCACAGTGTTCACACACTGCCCCTCACCTGCTTTCTGGTTAACTCTCTGACTTGGACTTTCACTCGCCCACATGCTGCCCCTTCTCTGCCACCCCCACTTCCTGCTCCTCTTCTAGCATCTGAACCAGCGGTCTCCAACCCCCAATCTGCAGACAGGTGCCGATCCTCAGAAATTCTATGCTGTGATAAAACTCACTAGAATTTGTCAGTAGACTCCTGACGGTGCTCAGGGCTTATTCCTGGCTCTGTGCTCTGTGCTCAGGATCACTCCTGGTGTCATATACCAACTATTTCAAGGCTCTGACAGGTCTTGCATGGTGCTCTGACACACGCCCCCACCCTCCCAGACCCCCATCCCAGGTATCACCCCAGCCCCCTGGGGCTGTGATCCACCTTCTCTACTCTACGCTGAGCCCATCAGGGATCTACAAAGCGCTGCTGGACACTTGCCATCCCACCCTCCCAACTATCTACACTGCACACTCCCCACCCCCTTGGCAGTGCTTTTACTAACTCCCTCAGACATGGTCTACACTGGACCCTTGCTCTGAGAGATGAAGGAACTACATGGACTGTTCCACAGATCCTCCACTCTGTTTAAGAAGCCCCCAGGATGTGATGCTGCTGCTCCCCCTCGGGATCCAGAGACCCACAGGCCACCATGCAAGACCTGTCAGAGCCTTGAAATAGTTGGTATATGACAAGGGACCCAGCCTTTCCTCATGGCCCAGCCATGATCCCCAACAACATTTTCCCAGAAGCCTGAGGTGGGGAATTCTGAGCCCCTCTGCTCCCTGCTGCCTCCCACACAGAACCCTCAGGCTTCCCTTCCCCCAGGGACCCACATCCCTCCTCCAGGCCTCCCATCCCGGCTGTACCTGCAGACCTGAACCTCACCTGAGTGTGGGCTCCCTGGGGCTCCTGTCCCTGAGCCTGTCCCTGTCACCTCCCCAGATACCCCCCAGGTCTCTATCTCCAGCTCTAATGACACCAGCCAGCGGGGCCACAGGGAGACCAGCCTGACCTGCCACGCCCGCAGCAACCCGGAGCCCAAGAGATATGACTGGAGCACGTGAGTCCTGAGGCTGATCTGGGTCTGAGGGGGGGCGGCTGGAATGGAATACTTGGTTCAAGGGAGGAGGCCCGGGGATGGGGTCTTGGTCTGAGAGAGGAGGCTGAGAGATGGGGTCCTAGTCTGAGACGCCAAAAGGATCCAGGGAGAAAAGTTCCCTTTGTCCCCTGTTAAATGTCTCATTGTGGAGCGGGTGCTCAGCTTAATACTGGGCAGAGCCCTTGTGTGGGAATGGGCAACCCCCAGATGGGCGCATCCCCAGCACCTGTCACCCACAAGCTACAATAATGCCATGCACAGAAATCAAGATATCCAAACTTTAACAACCAAACTCAGAAATCTGCTGTCATAGGGCAGGTGTTGGGAGGTCATATGGGAGGGGGCTTGGGAGCAGGGGTTGGGGGGGAGCTGACACTGATGGTTTCAGTATAGTATGTCTAAAACGAACTATGAATAGCTGTGTAAATCACTGTGCATTTAAAAAAAGGTAATTTTTTAAAAGTGTCTTGCAAACACAATTTCTGAAAGGCACAGACAAGGTGGAGAGTACCTCATATTCCCAGGGCTGCTCTGTGCCTGTCCTTACCCTCCTGCTCTGATCCCCACTCTCCCCACTCAGCACTGGGCCGTGAGGGGTCAAACGTCACCTACACCCAATAGGTGCGACATTTGCCCAGTCATAGCCCCGATGAGCCAGAGATCACAACAAAGGAGGCTGAAACTAGTAACAGGTCTGAGGCAATGAGGGCAGCTCTGGGGACTCACCTAAGAAACTGACTTTCCTCTGAGTGAGGTGGGAGCACTGAATGAACAGACTTGAGCTCTGTTCCAGTAAGTTCTCTCAGGCCACCAGGTGTGTCCACTGGGGAGTTACAGGGGAGCAGGGGCCAGGGATGGAGTGAGAGTGGAGGCCACACAGGTTCTGAGGACTGGATGGATTCTGAAGGCAGGTCTCAGGACCTGCTGAGAACTTCTGGGGGAGTGAGAGGAAGAGTCGGGGGACTCCAGGTATCCCTCAACTTGGGTCACACAAGGGGAGATGCTGGGATTCCTCAGTCCCTGTCACTCTAAGCTCCAGCAGAGGCTGTGTTCTCACCCGCTTGTGTCCCCCAGGACAACGGGCCCCCTGCCCCCCTCTGCTGTACCCCAGGGCTCTCGGCTCCTGATCCAGCCCACTGAGGAGTCCATCAACACGACCTTCATCTGCCGCGTCTCCAATGACCTGGGGACAGGTCAGGCAGCCATGAGAGTTCAGTGCCCAGGTGAGGACCAGTGGGGAGCACAGAGACACTCCAGGAGCTGCTGAGCAGGACTGTCTCTGAGGAGGGATGGGAGGGTCCCTGGGGAAGGACCCTGCCAAGGCCTCTGCCCAGACACTCAGAAGGGCCTTTCCAGGGAGATGTGGCAGAGATGGGGTGATTGCACTTGCTGAAACACCAAAATTGCCCAGAAAATTGGCACATTATTTAAAAGGCAGATTCAGGTTTGATACAATCTGGGGGGCCTTGATCTGTGCTCAGAAATGCTATCTAAAAAATATTTTGGCCAGCCAGGTCTCAGTGCTTGGGGGTTACTCATAGTGGGGCTTGGAGAACCCTGTGGGTCCACCAGGACCTTGTGTGTAAAGCAGGATTTGTATTTTTCCTTCTCACTTTCTCTATGCTCCCTGTTCTTCAGACTCATCCCTTGCCAGTCAGGCAACCAGCAGATTTTATAGGTTCCCATCAAACCATTCAATAATGGATGGGTAAGACATCAGCACATTCAATAGCTCTGCCCAAAGTCCCAGGCCTGTCTCTCATTGGCTTCTGTGAGTTCACATGACCTCCCCAGGAGCCAATCACAATAACCACACAGAGTGAGGGTGGTAGCTGTCTAGAGGATTGAGGATCAATGTCTGCTGGACAGGGTGACCTTAATATCATCAATCCTAAATCACTGCTTCCTTCTCTTCAGAAACCAGAAAACCGTCACCCTCACACTCGAATCTCAGGATCGGCCTCTGTGTTTCAGGAATGGTGTTTATGGCTGTGCTGAGGGCCCTGGTTTATTACTGGCGTCCGAGACAGTTGGTCCGCTGAGTGTCTCCTCTCTGGAAGATCCCTCCCTCACCCCGTGTGTCGGCCCTGAGCATCCCGAGCCCCAATCCCTGAGTCCGACCCCACACAAGGCTCCGTAAGACAGCTTGTCCGTAAGGGCATGTTCCCATAGCCCTGCAGACATGGACACTGAGGCAGGGGCTGATCTACCACCTGAGGGAGTGAGGCCCTGATTCCAGGCCCCATAAGCACTGGGCACCCACCAGGGCCACAGGGGGACTGAGGGCAGAGTGACACCCCCAACTGTCCCTCATGGCCTTTGCTAAGAGAGACCCCCCAGTGCTCCTACAAGAAATAGGGGGCAGCAGGAACTGAAACTCTGGTCCCCCCTGCAGAAGATAGGAGGAAGAACTTGCTAGGACATATGAAATATTAGCAGCAGGAGAACAGGGCATATCTGGACCCACAGTGCTTGTTTACCCACAGTTAAACTTCTCACACACTAGCAGAGACTTACTCCTCCAGGAAGTCCTTCCTATTGCCGCAGAATGTGTAACCGCCTGCTCTGGGCAGCTTACCTCAACTTGTCCACTCTGGATCACACTATGAGGACCACTGTCTGTGTCTCCCATGTATCGTGAGGACCCAAGGGCAGAAGTCTCAGTGTCTGAGTTCCCTGCACCCTGGCACTAGGCTGGTGGTGCAGATGACCCCGTGTATGTCATCTCCAGAGCCTGGCAGTCTGTGCTCGGTCACTCCCGGCCTTATTGCTGAGTCATCGGTAGAGGACAAGTTCCCTCTTGTCCACAGCAAAGGGTGTACTCAGAGCACTGCTCGGCTGGTCTCCCAGGAGCATCCCCTGTGCTGTACCCAGAGTCTGTGGAATTGAGTCAAAGGCTGAGTTAATTTCCTTGGTCTATGCTCAGATCTGCTGTGTAAAAAATATTTTGACCACTCAGGGCTCAGTGCTTGGGGGTTACTCATAGTGGGACTTGGAGAACCTTGTGGATTGAGGGATAGAGCTGGTCCCTCAGCATGCACAGCAGAGCTCAGCCAGACAAGCAGACTCCCTGTGCTGTCCCTCACACATGGGGTTGCATTCCCTCATGCTGCATCTGGGAAAACTGCCCAGCCCCCAGGGAGAAGGTCCCACAGGCTTGACCTCTGGGCTGAGAGGCTGCAGGGAGAGTCTCTGGTTTTGTCTGAATGGACTTGCAGGTCAGGTTTGAATCTTCCCTTTCCAAGTTGTCTCTGTGCAGAGAGAAGCCAGCGCTTCACAGCACCCACTGACAGAGGACGCAAGGGAACAGACAGAATAACCTAGACACACTGATAGAGGTTCCCTAGGCTGGACACTTTCCAAGAACAAAACACCCTCTGAATCTGCTCTCTGGGGCCCAGACATCCCTCAGGGACTCCCCTCTGCATCAGAACACAATGGGCAGGTGCTTGGGGTCTTCAGCACACAGTATCCTCTCTCTCTGGATGTACCATCTCTCCTCCATCAACCTGACTCACATTCCACCCCAAGATTCTGTCTCAGCATCCCAGGACTCCCCAGGAACATAAAACTCTGCCTGGGCGCCTAGGTTGACAGGGAAACTAAGATAAAGAACAATTGTGCCTGGAGGGAATTTAGACCAGCCACACACTCTTGTGATTTTCTATTTTCTTTTGTAAATACTTGCCAACCCATAAGTAATGCCAGGAGCCTTTAAAGGACCTCACAAAACTCCCTTACCTTAACTTAGTCCCATATTAATTTCCTCCCCACTGAAAGCTCCTTCTATCTTCACTTTTTCTTTCCAATAAAGTTTCCTACTTTCCAACTCTGAGTCTGAGCATCTTTATTACTAAATATTTTCATTGTTGAAAATATTGAAGAACATGGGAATCGCGAACAGAGAGACCCACCGCTTCTGCCTCACCTGTATCATTTGGGGGCTCACCTGGGAGAACATTCCAGCAGAAGAGCAGGAAGTGCTGCCAAACCCCAGGTCTCTGTCACCTGTTTCTTTGTTTTGGGACGTCCTGTAGCCCTATTGGAAAAAGCAGGCATCCACCCTCCAGATAGAAGGTGACTAGTACCTTGGGACCGTTTTTAAGGTGAATGAAAGTCTGTCTGGCTTCCCTTCTCTTTGATCCCACTTTCCCCTGGAGAGTGGAATGGCGCAGTCTAGGGAGTTGGGTTCCCCTGGGGCTGCTTCTGCTCTTCCTTCTGTCCCAGCAGCTGGAGAGGAGCGCGAGCCCTAACCGCAGCATAAGTGGCCTATGAAGCCTTACCTCAGCTTAGAGGCTCGTATCCTTCCTCCAGCATAAGACATCTTTGTCTTGGTCTCCATCCTCTGGTCACACATGAGAACTCAGAACCCCTGGGCTCTCTTCCTCTCTGCAGGACCCTAGGGCACTTGCCTATGCTACCCCTGAAAGAACTTGTTTCCCTGGGAGATGCCCAGAGGCTGGTGCTCCTAGACCCTGGGGCAGCTCAGCCTGGATGGCTTCTTGGGCCTCAGTCAGTGTGGCCTGGAGTGGGGAAGCAGCAGAGGCCCAGGCCAACCAGGTTGCTGGTGGCTTGTGACCTGCTGCTCCCAGGGGCTAGTGAGGTCGAGATCCAGCCTCTCCCTCCTTCCCTCTTTCCCTCCCTCCCTCCCTCCCTTCCTCCCAGATCTAGGCCATTCCTACTCAGGTTCTTCATCTCCTCCCCCCCAGAAGCAATCCACAGATCTTTTGTTCAAAGGCTGCTGAAGATTTAACCCTCTCAGCATCCACCTATATGTCACCACCTTTATTTGGGGGCGGTGCCCATTTATGAAGTCAGTGGGCTCCATGGGTGGCTAGGTGAGGCAGGGAGAAGAGAGACACACTCACTTCCTCCTGATCCACTTCTGCCATTCCGGGACCCAGGATTACCAGGTTTGTTTTCTCACCTCACAGAAAAGAATTTTAAGAGTAGAGAAGCAGTGAAGTAAAAACAGATTTTATTTGGAGGTTTTTTTAGGAAGGGGAAGGAGGAAAAGAAAGTGACAGACACTAACATGCTTGATAGAGAAGGTGGGTTTTTGCAAAGGAGGAGAGAGAGCCCCTACACACACCCACTTTTTAAGTAAAAGTAAAAGAAAAGGACCTCCCGTTGATCATCGATTTGCTCGAGCGGGCCCAGTAACGTCTCCATTGGAGACTTTGTTGTTACTGTGTTTGGCATATCGAATACGACACGGGGAGCTTGCCAGGCTCTGCCGTGCGGGTGAGATACTCTCAGTAGCTTGCCGGGCTCTCCGAGAGGGGCGGAGGAATCGAACTCGGGTTGGTCATGTTGGCTGCGTGCAAGGCAAACGCCCTACCGCTGTGCTATCGCTCCAGCCGCTGTGCTATCACACCCAGTATTAGATATGAAAACATGGAAGTATACATCTTAGGAGGAGAGATGTGGGTGACACATGTGCTTGGGTACCACCTCTGCGAGAAGACTGGACTCTCCCGTAAGGACTGCCCCAAGTCAGGGAAGCCCACTACACAATCCCGTTTGCAAAGGAGATCACTGGAAGAGGAAATGCACACAGGCGAAGGCCCCCAAACTCTCAGTCCAGTGGGGACCTGGAATGATGGGTCCCAAGGTTCTTGCTCCTGGAGGCCCCATTATATGAGACAGTGAAACTCCCTGTGAGCCTGCGGTAACTTTAGGGGTAGAGGCCTCCCGTCAGCTTCCTCTCTGACACTGAGGCAGCATTCTCAGTTCTTCTCTCCTTTAAGGGCATCTGTCTCTAACGTCTGTCACTCTGTGTGTGTGTGTGTGTGTGTGTGTGTGTGTGTGTGTGTGTGTGTGTGCAAGGGGGAGTCTGCTTCAGCCTCACCTGCATCAAAGGACTCACAGAACTCAGGAGGGCTGGGGTGGGTTTTCACCCTGACTGTGTGGGATCGGGTCTGCAAAGAAAAAGGCACAGTGGGATACCAGGGACTAGCCCTGGCTCTGCTGGTTCCCGCCGAGTCCCACCCACCATCTTCTCCCAGGAACCTGTGTGTTGACCCGCACCAGGCATCTCAGCTCAGCCCCATGTCCAGAGTTTCTGGGGGGGGGGGGTCTCTGTGGACACAGGGGTCCATTAAGGTGATGTAGAGTTAGACGGGAAGGGACCGTAAGGGAATAGAATTCCTAGGGAGTAGTTAAACCACCTAGCTCTAAAGCCTTCAACAACCCAACTTGTTGGGACCTGATAAGACCTTTC